AGGACCGGCTTCGGATTGTTCAAATATTTTTTACACAAATAAAATTATTTTGGCGCTAAAAGAAATGCCTTTTTTAGCCTAGTTAGCCGTTTGCAGTTATTTAAAGAAATATTTGTTGTTCAATTTATTTATTGGTTTTGTTTGTCTTACATATAAAAGTTCCCTAAATACAGAGAAATTAGCATTTTGTGGCTAGTAATATCTGCATATCTACAGATGTTTTTTCTTCCTATGACCATTCCTCCTTCTTTAACTCTTCCCATTGCCTCGTATAAATTACTTAAGTATATTTTAAATATGTGAGCACTTATCTTACATCCTTATCTAGTTCCTTTGTCCATCCAAAATTCTATTCAATTCTCTACCTTTTATTCTCACTTCTCCTGACGTTTCTCTATAAATTTCGATTATTCTCTCTACTAGTCGTAATTTAATTATTTTCTTATTATTGGATTGGTCACCTTGATGTAGTTACAATTTTTTTATATATTTATAGACAGGAGTTTATGAAGGTGTAATCAGAGACATATTAGTGGCAGAAACGGAAATTAGGAGAGGTAGACCTAGATTAGATTACTGTTCGTAAATAGTTAAGGATGTGGGTTGTTCTAGTTTTAGGGAAATGCGAAGTTTAGCTCAGGATAGAAAAGAGTGGAGGTACGTATCCAACCAGTCTTAGGACTGACGATCTTATGTTGATGATGATATAAAATTATCAAGGTATAATTAACAACAATCTTATCGTGCGGGTTCAAGCGTCACATGGTTTATAAATCAAATCAAGAGATGCAAGAACCACAATAATATGTTGTAAGAAAAAAAAATGTACTTTACTGAGCGGACGCGTATTTCGCTCACATCTAGTGTGGGCATTATCAACTCGAGACTGCTTAGTCATGGCTTATTGATTTAGTCGATTACACATTCTCCTCTATACTATTTTACCTATTTTGAATATTTGCCTTGCATGATAATCATTTTCGGTTTAGACAACAACAAAATACGAGTTCTCGTTACATCTTTGACGCCATTCACTAAAATTAGTATTACTGACAATCATAGGTCAAAGTTCAATGCATCCGACTGATATTATTCACGTAGACTGTAATGTTAAATATCGACATTATCATAAAACACCAATATGTACGGTTTCCAAACTACCATTTAGAAAGCATATATTTAATTTTTCCTTTTTAAAATGAATAATCTCAATTATAAATTATATATATTCATTTTGTCATAGCCCGATGAAGTGCTTGTAGAAAATTTTTAAGAGAATCACGTATCAATTCGCAAATTCAGCGTGCNTGTAGATTTTTCGGTAGTTTTTGGTATTGCACAAATATGGCGCGATGAATTAAAAGAAAACACTAACATAGAATTGGTCTTTAAGATTTTAATAAACACACCAACAGGAACAAGACAATCACAAAACAATAACAACAACAATAACGATAATAACAATATACGGTAAACTTACGAAATAGCTGGGAGAAAAGAACTAGAAGAACTCTGAAGAACTCACTTTTGAAATTTTTTTTTTTTTGTTTTTGGGGAAGAGGGGAATAGTTGAAGATAGGCAAGGAGAAGGGTAGTTTAGAAAAAAGACAGAAGGTCAAGTACTGACGGTAAAAGTTCTCAGAAGTAAATAGAATGGAATGTTATTGCGGGAGAAACCAGATTGTNAAATATTTACAAGATCTACAGATCGCTACAAATATTTTCCTTAAAATTCTCAATTTTATAGAGAATACTTTACATTAGAAAAAGTATTCTACGATAAGAAGTAACGTAAGCAGCTTTCTGTATTGCGTTGGTCTATTTTATATTGTTCGTTTCAAGCTATTCAACTACTTCGAGATGCTTTTACCTTTTGTTCCCCTGCGTTCTTGTGAGGCTTGGGATGTAGTACAAGGTACGGTCTTTCTACGTTTCTTCCTTAAAAGGTGTTCTTTATACGCAAGGTGTGCTCCTACCTATTACTTCGTCAATGCCAACTTGTTCTTTATTGGTCATAGCTTGAATACTTACCCTGGTAACTCATAACTCTACTTTAATGCCTGTAAAATTGTGAAAAACTTAATTGTTTTACACTTCTAGTGTTGTATTTCTTTAATTTTTAATATGAAAAATGTCTTTTTCGCGATGGTGTATAAAGTACATAACGATATTACAATGTCAAATTAATAAAAAATAATTGTTCTACGTCTAAACAAATACAGTTAATAATGATTAGTGGCATACTTAACAAAAACGAAACACTTTTGGGGTCGCGATTGATTAATTTCGATATTCGTAAATCTCCTATTAAAAGTGTATACGTATGTTTGGAGCACGACAAAATGGGAGGACTGTGTGCGCAATGGAAACGGAAACAAATGTGGTGTTACAGAAGGACGTTAGAAATGGGGAAGCATTAGAATGAGAGAAGTCAATAAGTTGGTAGGGCACTTTCTCAAGCATGAAAGGCTAATTAGAGACATAGAGAAATAATTACTGTTCACAAACAGTCAGAGATGTAACAAAAAATCCATATGATTTCGACCTTCTTGGGTCAGCACGTCGCAGATAATTCCGACAGAACAAAAACCGAATCTACCTGCTGCCTTTAGACAACGTTTCATGAATTACTACAAACAGCGTGATAAACGCCACCTGTAGTATACTGCTACCTTTCGCGGTATTCAAAAGTGTTCAATATGATCCATAAGGATATCAGCTTGTCGACCTGAATCCACGGCGTAACTAACCCTATGATTGGTCAAAAAGAACAAACAGTTCATATGGTGGTTAGTATTTTGTCCAAACCATTAACCGAAAAGCCTGGGGTCTTGTTGAACATTTTTCAATTTCATTAAAAGTAACAATATACTACAGATGGCGTTTACCACGCCTTTTGTAATAATTTATAAAATCAGTTAAAGAAATAGGAAGATTAACTAAATTTATGAAAGAGTGTCACGTGTCCGAGCAGTCTTCGGATAATGATGATGATGATGATGATAAAAAGATACTTTAGTAATAAATTGTAACATTCAACAGTTCATTAGTTTTGTAAGACAGAGACACAGTGAAATTCGAACTATATTATTTTCAGGACCTGTTAACATTTAGGGAAAGCCGAATATTGCAACGTGGTCTTCTTCTACCGCGCTTTTTTTATAAAAACATATTTAATAATTTGATTTGAATCGACACTCATTCATGCCAAAGACGTATTATCTGTCTGTCGAAATCAACATCAAAATCATTACGATCTTATTTGTTTCTGGTCACTGTTTTCATCTGTTATCTACACTACAGGCATGTCCAACTGCTATGAAGTGACAATAGCATTAAATACATCTATTTTTTTGTTCTTTTTGTTTCTAGTTTTACTATAGCACTAGCAAAGTTAAATTAACGCAGACTTAGTTTTACAAATGAATAGTGTCACGCATACATGAATACATCTGCAAAAGCATATTTGCTCCAGTTCATTTAAAGTAGCTTTTATCAATCAACGTTATCTCTCTTGTCCAAAGGAAGTTACGACAGGGTTATATTAATAACATAATTTTAAAGTCTACTTTAGAATTTCGCTTTGAAGTTTACAAATGTATCTATGTTAAATCGAAAAGGAAAACTATATTAATAAGAACAAAAACCTACTGTATTCTTTTTAGTTTGCATTAAACAATTCAATTTGAACATGACCAGGAATTTTTCCAAAATTTCGAATGTCTAAGCAATCTATTACAAATTAGGTACTATCATAACTTTTTATTCCAAAACAAGCAATTAGGATCATATAAGATTATATTAGGAAAAGACAACACAACCTTTATTGCCGGACGTTGTTATCTAAGATGAAAGTATTATTATTGGTGGACTTAACAACAGTATACTTAGAAACGATTTCTTTGAAAGAAAAATTAAAAAGTGTGACGACAAAGGAGAGATTCCCTTAAGTCAATTTTTCTTTGACTCAAACATAAGTGGTTGCATTTAGGTTTGAGTTAAGAAAGTTTACCAGTATATTACTTCTTCCATCTAAGAGTTTTCTCTGTATGATGAAATGTGCAATGGAATACAATGAATCTTTTTTGTAACTTCTTTTGCGTTTGTTTTTCTTCATTATTTACGTGCCCTTTTGTATTATTGACAATTTACGCTAGCGGAGAAAAGGAAATAGAAGAAGAAATAGGATATGATAACACAAACAATGAGTACATTTTTTTACTGATATTTAATTTTTATTTATTTAATTTACAAATCCTTATTGTAGTTTTAAGTATTTTTTTTCACTGTTGTTTTCTCAATCCTCATTGACGGTTTAACCTTTTCATAAACAGTTTCAGTTTTCTTCTATGTTATACTTCATTTACTTTCTCTAGCGATGTTCCCCTTCCAATGTATCGAATGCGCACTGGCAAAATCGTAGGTAGGGAGAAAAAAGCTCATTATACTCTCGAATCTTGTTCATTAAACTTACTTTTTCATACAGTACCTGCCAAAACTTTTGTTCAATCATGAATACTAGTGCGAGTCGAAAACAAGCGTTAAAGCCTTTGATATGACTTCAAATATAAATAAACATCTCGTTAATATTTTCAGTAGTAATTGGTACTAATAACAGCACATTTGAGCAATGCAATTGTAGTGGATAAAATGGTCAATTTTTCTGTGCAGTACTGTACGGATTATACGCTCCTCACCGATTAAGAATTTGGCCGAGAGTTGTCTCCTTTCTTTTCTAGCCTAGTGCTGTTCTTTTCTACTTTGCGCCGTTCAAACTGAAGGTCACATCGCTACAGAAAGTAAACGAAGTATAGTTTTTAACTGACCCACAATTCTTTAATGTGAGCAATTTGTTAAAATTTCCACTTTTTCGATTGCTGAGTAGCTATAAAATAAGTTGTATTGTTATAAGTACCCAATACGTAAATTTCACAGATTTACTACTTACTTACCATACTTTTTATGAGTGAGACACTGATTTAGAGCATTTTAATTTTCAGTTACCTGAGGGATAACGACGCCACGGGCGTCAACGTTTCGTCAGAAATGTCGTGATCATCGTCGTGTCCTTATTCCCACCACAGCTACCACCACGAGCATCGTCGTAAAAATAACTTAGCGCAACAACCACCGACCTAATCAAAAGGCCACTGGCATGGGCACGACCGTCGCCGGCGACGACGCCTATACCACCCCTACGTTAGCGTGGCTGTTGCATTCGCTACCCCATCTCAACGTCACGCTACATCGCGTCAACTCCACCTTCGATCCCCGGTCTCCCGTCTATCTCGAGGTGAGTAAGCGGAATTTTAACACTAATGATTCATTCATTTCCTCATGTCGAATTCATTTTATCAGCTAGGAAATTGAATTCCCAAAATAATGCAGAAATCTTAAACTTATCTACAATCTACTACGCGGGCTGGGTCAAAAGCCTGACAGGTATACACTGCACATCATTGTTCGAGGTTCAAACACATATCTCCCAAAAATGAAAATTATTCTTGCAATTTGATGGCATTCCTTTAAATAAATCTAATTGAAATTTATGATCCTAAGAGAGGTGCTTCCGTAATTTAGATAAGATATTATAAATGAATAAGATTGTTCAAGTTCTTGATCAGAAATTTAACAAAGGAACTGTTCATAAAATACGTTCGCAAATAACAGTGGAGGGGTATTGTTTGACGTAACGAGATATGACATGGGAGGAGGAGGGGTGTTTTAAAGGAGTAAGACGTTTGCAGTTCATCAATTTTATTTTAATTGTTTCTTAATTTAGTAGACCTTAAAATCAATCTAAAGTACTGAAATAAACGTGGATAGTGAGAAATTAATGTTTCAGATTGCACACACTTGTATGAATTTTTAATCACAAGAAATCTTTTCTAGAAGGGGGCTAGCTTTTGTGACGTAATAATTGTTAAGGGGGTCTCTGAAAGTGTGACTTAGAGTAACGAAGGGAGAGGGAGGGCTCCAACTAGGTAAAATTCCAAATGACGTACCCGAAACTCCCAGGCGCGGATCGCGATTCGATCTTATTATATTAAGCAGTCTGTATAAATTACTGAGCGAGTTGATGTTTTCAATACTTCAATAACAAATACCTATTTGATGAGAATGCACTGCCTCTGTTTGGATATTACGTATTACATAAATTGATGTACCTTGATGTTGAAGGAAGATATATTTTAGAGTTACGAATGACGAATAACCTCTTTAGAAATGAACGTATTTTACGGGGTGCTGTTATATTCATATAGTAGTTAAAATGGTAGTTTCATGTCGAACGATATGGACTCATATCCTAAACAGTCATAATGCACCAGCCTGAAAATATAAAATTCAAACTACCTATCTTCGATGCAGCAGTTGAGAAACATAGGCATTTAATAATACAGATTAAGGTAAACTGGAATGTTTTCACAAGTTTTTTTTTGTTTGAACAGAGAAAAAGAGTATATTTAATTGTAAACTTTTTTACAAAAACAAAACATTAAGTGTAGAGAAACGTTTAAGGAATAATAAAAATAATTAATAATTTAGCCCAATTAATAAGGGTGTCACATATCAATTATTTTGTGATTCTTGCTACGTATCTTTTATACATAGGTAGGTCAAAGTAGCATAATGAAACGCATTTCTGAAAATGCATATTCAAGTAAATAAAAAAGATAATAAAACTGATTTAGCAGAACATTGTTCAACAAATAATCATTTTTTAAATATGCATATATGTATAAACCACGTTTTTACATTATAATGTTTTAAAAATTGAGAAATTTTCGTTATTAACTTAGTTTATAGTCAATCATAACTTGACACCTAATTCTCCACCATCTTATATAAGTTATAATGCTTTTAATCCCTTTCTATCCTTTTTCTTATTCTTTGCTTAAGGTATACAGTTTCAAGTTGCACCGTCAATAGTTTAAATTATATTAAAAGACATAATAAACGGTAAAATTAATATTAAATGAAACACTTGGATTTCATTAAAGTTTTATTGGGAAACCTCGACAGCTGTTTAGACACAGGTCTTGTGCATGGTACTCTTAATAATGACAGGCTGCATTGAGTGTTCTTACTTAAAATTACTAAAACTTAAAGAGAGTAATCATACGTTTGTTTTTTTTTTAACTATTTACCTGTCAGTTTACGTAAAAACTTCCTTATTATTTGCAAGTAAAAGTAAATTTGAAAAGAAAAAAAACAAAACATTTTATATATACCTACATATTCTATCGAACGAACATTGGTTGGAATAATAAGGGGTATTTTACTGTTCTGCATTCGCAGTAACGTTCATAATAAACCTTCAACAGGCTTTGAATAATGGATACGCTTAAAGGAAATGATATTACGTCATATTCATAGATTATTTATTCGTTATATTGAAAGAGAGGTAATTCATTATCTACTTCTAATAAAAGTGTAACTAAGATTCAGGCAAGGAAGAAAGCACGTCATGATTGATTACTCGACTATTATTTACTATATATTAAATAATGATGAATAAAAAAAATTGGATACCTATTTTGTGTAATTTTTTAAATTTCCCAAAGTCAAATGATATGTTGCTGCTTTTGTTGTAGTTTTCAGCTGCAGTGTTGGTTATAATTTACTAATTAAATGTTATACATATATATGAAATTTGTCCCATATCAGTAATTTGTAAATTAGAGAAGCTGGACACTGGTGACGAAAGTAAATTTAACTAAAACACCCTATGTAGTGGAAATGAAAAAAAAAAAACAAATGTGTGCTGGGACACATAATAGAAGTGAAACTTCATCGGACTAGTGGAAAAACGAATGCCAACAGACAAGTGGAAAAACGAATCGCAACAAAATTTTTACTTCAAGTTTTACGGGCAGATTGTTAATGTACTTGTCCAATTTTAAAACCTGCCCGTAAAACTTCAAGTAAAAATTTTGTTGCGATTCGTTTTTCCACTTGTCCGTTGAAGTTTCACTTCTAATATGTGTCCCAGTACACATTTAATTCTCACGGGTTTACTGCAAATTATGATTTGGTTTTTACACAGACCGCAAATAGAGGCAATAATGCTCAGCCACGTGGAGAGCAGAGGTAAGAAAACAACAGCTGAGCACAGCACACGCCGCCCGGACTCTAGCGGACTCCCCGCTTTCCACATGGCTAGGCATTATATCCATCTAATACAGTCGTGCCATCTGTCCGCCGCCGCCGGCTTTCTCTCCTCCGCCGCGGCCGTAACGCTTTTTCGTGACAGAAAAAATTGTAATACCCCGTCTATATAGATGTTTCACTTCAAAAAATTTAGTACCTACATTTTCACTCAAGGGTGTTCTTGATTTTTTAAATTCATTTCTATTTTTGAGTTATCATACTGTATCTGTGAATCATTTCATCTTAATTGTGATTTAGGAGAGAGAAAGAAATGTATTAGAAATAAAATATATTTCTAAAATAAAGTAAAACATATCTCATTTTACAATAAACCTAAGGACTCATACGCATGAAATTAAAATGTCTAAATATGTCAGTTATAAAGTAAAGTTTCCCTATTAGCTATTTTTGCGTTTTACAATTTAGTCTATTTTGTATTCAACAGTTTATACTAATGATTAGACATTTGTTAACTTGCGTAAAATGTTAAATAATGACTATATATATATATGTATAATAAGTACTTATAAAGTTTTTTTGCAAATACTTGTTAGTGTTAAACTTATAAATATGTATACACAAATGACGAACCGAAAAAAAATCTATTCTGCTTCTCTTCTTTGTTCTCATCAAACAGACATCTTTTATGATGAGGCGAAATAAACATTTCGAAGTATTGCGTATACACGCACATGTTATACAAGAACCACAGGAAACTTTTTATTGGGGTCGAAGAACTTCGCAAATGTGTAAACATCAGATCAATAATGTCACTATTCGGATTTGTACATACATAAAATTGATTACATTATCGTGGTAAATATCAGCTGTTACGTGTTCAGTGATTTAACACAGAAATGATTCTGACCATTTGCATTTCTAAAACTCGCGTACCTATCTCGAAACAAGCATATACATACTAATTTAAGGTACTGTAATCTCCTTAAACTACACTTAATCTCAAGCACTTCCTAGTACGATTTTATCAAGAGCACTTGCAATACTAATTTTGGGTGTTGAACATCTTCAAACTAACTTCATGTTACATCTGGCTTTTTTTGACCATTACGTTGGTGAAAATTAAACATACAGGCAGAAGGTATAGCCACAAGATAGATACATCACGATCACGATCAACCTGAATTTACAATAAGGCTCCATTAAGACTACTTACTGTCCAAGTCAGAAACGTAAACTGTTTTATGAAACAACGTAAAATGATTTAGAAACGCTAGTTAAATAAAGACTGATATAACTACCGAGTACCCTACATAGGAAAAAATTCTAACTGCATGTCGGATACCTTATAAATCGAAATTCCGATTTACGTAATATTTCCAAACAATTACAAATTGATGTAGGTATTAATTGTACTTATTACTTTATTTGCTTTGGAACTCACTACTGTGGTTTGAGAACTACTTGGTCAGTAAATTATCAAAACTAGTAGACGTAGTTCGCGATTTTAAAAGATCTCATCTGCACGCCATAGACGGTCTCGATAAATCATAGAATCGAAAGAGCTTTATGAAAATAAGCTTATACGTTTAATATCTACCCGTGGTTCTAGCAGTATATCGCCATCTACTGGTATCTGCTGCTAATTGAAGTACTGCATACGTTAGACAAGGTCCTTTACTAAAGGAATCTGCTTATCCAAATAAATCGATGGCGCAGCAGACGTACATCTAACTTATGAAATAGTTCATTTAGCATTCTAAAACATATCTCGATAATAACGTGTATTTTTTTTTCTTGTATACTGAAGGTTTTTTATTATCGTTCCAGAGTTTAGGCATCCTTGGTTCAATCCCAGCAGCCTGGTTGATCTTGACCCTTTTCATATTGCTTATTTACCTGTTAACGAGATGTTGCGACCACAAAACGCGAACGGCCAAGTCTATATCAGCCTTAAAAGTCACCCTCGCAGTGGTATCGGTCCTTTGTTGTGCTGCTGTAGGTCTAGGCCTCTATGGAAACGACGATCTACATAACGGTTTCACCGAGCTCCTTGCGGAAGGACGACAGGTGAACCAATTGGTCGCCAGGATCCGTAATCAGACCGAGGCAATCGACCGTCAATTTTTGATACATGCGAAATCACAACTTGTAGAATTGAGCGACGTCTTCGATGAACCAACCCATAATCAGACCGCATTAAAGATATTGGCTTTCTATCATAGAATGGCTGAACAGAACAACACTCAAGCAATGAATGCTGCAGCGGATATCAGGTAAATATGATTTTAACATACTACAAGTGTCAAACTGCCAGGGCGTTATGTTACTTGTAAATAATGCAATAAAATCATAACAGAAACACTTGTTGGAATAATTAAGTTGTAGTGACACGTCATTAAAACCGCTTCTAATATTATAACAGATGGTACGGCTAATTGCATAGAAAGGAAGGAGAATTTTTCTCAAACTTATCCGCATTAATTTAGATTCAAGAGCAAATCTAATGTTTGAAATCCAAAGCGTTTATTTTGTAGTGTGGAAAAAGGCTCTCTATTTGTTCGGGCGTTCGGTTGTTTAAAAATTACTGTAGAGACGCCAAGGTCAAATGACTTTTAAATTACGACAACTTGTGATAATCTATTTTGCAACATAATAGAAGGAAACATGTTTTTCATATTTTCAGGTCTCCATTGGAGGGTATAAACCTTGAGCCTAAAATATTAATCGGAGAGAAAATTGAAGCAATTCGATGGCCATTTACTATGGCCGTCCTCAGCGTTCTCCTAGTTCTTTGCGTGGTATTACTTGTGGGGGTAGCGCGGCACAGTAGATGTGCCCTGATAGCATTCTCGGTCTGTGGATTATTGGCTGTTATCGCTTCTTATCTAATGGCCAGCATCTACGTAGCCTCTAGCGTAGCGCTAGGTGATTTATGTACCGCTCCCGATCGCTTCCTCGAAGAGGAGGCGTCACCGGGATTGCCCCGCGAGATTCTTCACTATTATACCAGTTGCGAACGTGCACGTGCTAATCCGTTTACGCAACGTTTGCGTGAAGCGAAAGCGGCTGTGGAAGGCATGCGTGCCGCGCTCAATTATATGCGTAAGCCCACGATCGAACTGTTTCCCAGGCGCATGCTCGAACCAATTTTTAGTTCATTACTGAATCAGGTAAACGAGGCGGACTCAGTGATAACGTCGCTTACAACACTCGTCGATTGCCGCGCTCTTAATTCGCACTATTTGATGGGCGCGCGGGCACTATGCAACGTTGGACTATGGGGCTTGTCGCTGATGTTGATGTCGGCCATGTTGGCCGGATTGCTTATGACGGTGCTCGTGTGGGTGGATTCGCACACGTGGATCTACATCAGGAAAAAGTAAGTGTTTTAAGATTAACGATGCATCGTATGTAAGCTGCATATCGATTCAGTTGGACAAGTAGACAGCAGTAAAGCGCTTGTCTAACATTTGAAACGCTTCAGGTGGTAGCAAATATTAGTATATGACTTATAACTTACAAACTCGATTTTAAGTATGTCCATAATTACATTAAATTACATTATCATCAACTATAATATAGTTATATAACAATATTCCAGTTGATCATAATTACATTAAATTACATTATCATCAACTATAATATAGTTATATAACAATATTCCTGATAATTATAATTTCATTAAATTACATTATCATCAACTATAATATTGTTATAACTCGATTTTAAGTATGTCCATAATTACATTAAATTACATTATCATCAACTATAATATAGTTATATAACAATATTCCTGATAATTATAAATTCATTTAATTTAAGTATGTCCATAATTACATTAAATTACATTATCATCAACTATAATATAGTTATATAACAATATTCCTGATAATTATAAATTCATTTTATTTTTTAGGAAAGACTACCAACATGTTATGGAAGGCAGCGATCCGTACCTACCACCTCCGGCGGCCAGTCAGGCTATTGCAGCCCGTACCCTTCAACGTAGCCAAGGGTCGTCTTACCGCCCCGATACTCCCCCGCCTAGTTATACATCCGCCATGCTGCATTTAAGCTCGCATGCCAGTGCTCCCCCGCATGAAGCCCAATCACTCATGTATTACTTCCTCTCTCATTTAGTTGATTTACCCCATTTTTTATTTATTAAGTTCAACTTTACTATATTTTATTCATTGTAATCCAATTGGGTTTGATTTATTTTTGAGTTTATTTTTTTTTTAATTTTGCATGTTCTCATTAAAAATCAAAATGTATTTGGAATGTTCGTGAAGCGACTATCCCAGTTAATTAATTGGTAGAGCAATTAGCTGTTCCTTTTTTTTTACTAAGATTCGTAATTGTTTATTGTGTCTTTTATTTACAATATTTTCTTTTAAATTTTTAAATTGTAGGTATTGTAAAAGGAAACCCTTATATGATCAGTCATGCGTTTTTGACAGAAAATTTTAAAAATTTAACAATAATAAATCATTTAATCCTCATGTTTTCAGTAGTCGCGTTTGTTGTATATGATCAGTTATAGATAGTTGCAGTATGGTTTTTATTTTTTTGAATCAAATTGCATATGAATATAAAAGCCTAATTAAAAAATCGACGACCTGTGATTTTATTAAACTAAAATTTTGAACAGGGGATTTCTAGAAATTTGCTCGAATTTTGTAAGAAAACTATAGCAAAGTTTACAAATTTTCCGTTGTAGCTCCGTTTTATTTTATTTTTTATAATTTATATTTTTCACATAAATTTATGGTATATTTACAAAAGTGGAAATGCATGAAAATTTGTAGATAAACGTCTGCATGAGAGTGTTAGATACTTGTTTATCTGTTAAAAGTTTAGAAAGCCAAAATTCTCATGCATCACAATTATATGTCTATTCATCTACTTTGCCTTTCATTAAACATTAAATTGTAATTATTCAGCAAAGACATTTTCAATTTCATTTTATTAATTTAAAATACGAAACTTAATTTACTCCTGCTTAAATTTATCTATAAAGTAATCCGACTATTAAAAATTAATTATTTATCAATGTTAAGGTGTAATTATAACTATTGAACGGCTTCCAAATTTAATAAGTCAATTTCGAATTCGATTTTCTTGCTTTTATATTTACTACTATTTTTTGTTGTAGAAGTAAACGTTTACCTAATGCTGAACATTCCCTTTACAGTGATGGGTGCGACAAACGGACGCCGGATTGTAGAGGGGGAGGCGTTGGAGGAGGGCTCGGAGTCGGAATTGGGACCGGCGCCCATCTCTCTCATCTCCGGGGTCACACTCTCGGTCGGTTGCCGTCCCACCACCATGAACCGCTCTCGGGACCCAACAATGGCAAGTACGCGACTCTGAGCAAACAATGCAAAACACTTGAGAGCTCCGATTTTTACTGAGACAGGTTAGTGAACATTACATTTAATATCGCTGAGGTATGAATATGTAAATTGCTTCATTCATATTATCGTCATACTTAAATACACCATAAATGCATCTTTAGAGTATGACATGCTTGTAATCGTCACAAGAGCTGAACGCGCATTTCCACTATTCCCTTATGAGCCAAGCATTCCACCCCTCTTTACTCGTATTGCTGTTTTCAATATGTTTAACTAACCTTAACGTGTGTTATCAACACATCTCGAATGCTTTACTTAACTTTTTTTCGCCCTCCCTCCCGTCATTTAAATTTTGCACCCATACATGTCAGAACATAAAACTTTTAATAATCGTTATTGCGGTTAACTTTTCTAATGTAGTATCAATCATGAAACACTTTAAAATTCTAAAAGATTATTCAAAATATGGTACACCAAACACAGTTACTTTTTATAAGGGTAAAGGGCACACCGTTTTGGTTCATTACAACATTGAACCGTTATCCATAAATACGTTATTATGAGAGTTATGTACATACATGTAAATTTTATCCACTGCATGATTAGTTTTTAATAAGTAACGAGGTCAATAATACGTTTAGTCAAAGTTCTTTAATACACTATCTATGAAACACTGCAAATTATTAAGCGTGTTTGTTTTTTAATATATACTTACAAAGTTTTTTGTAAAAATTGGTTTTCTATACAATTTATTTATATATTATAAAATTCTTCATTCGTTTCTAAAAAGTTTTGAGAGCTGTACATTTACGATACTAACGGATCAAAGGGATATAAGTTTCTTCATGTTTTTTGGGACTAAAAAGTGATTCTAAGTTCCCTCTCGAAACCGAATAAAGTTTCTTCTTGTTCTGCTTATATGAATGTCTCCATCAATTTCTTGTTTTGGAAATAAGTGTAGTTTTCCCAGATTTAAAATAGACAGTTAGATTGAATATTACAGTAAAAGTTGTAATAATAACAATCAGCACCTAATTGAACAGTGTCATACTCACACGGATGTGCTGTATAAAAATTATTGGCTACTTTGCTTTCAACTTCCTCTCAATCCTTGGTTTGGTCTTGGTTTATAACCTATATTGCATGTTTTCTGGTTTTATTTGAGGCTCATGCATTTTATTTTGCCAAATACAAGAATAGTATCTCCTTAGTTGAAAAGTCAGATTTTACTAACAGGTCTGCCTGCAAGGAATTCCCAAACTTTAAAGGTTTTAAGTTCGATCACAGTCAACAACAGCAGCAACCTCAAAAGAACGGCCAACCGCAACATAGAACGGCAAATATTCAAAAATTCAGTTCTTTGGGGCGTCGACCTCTTCCGCAAACGCCTGATGAAAAGAATCTCAAACAACCGCCCCTTCCTAAAGTTCCGACGACAATAACCGCGACGACAGCGTCATCTCTTGGGAGTGGTGGTGGTGGCAACCTCCTCGAAACACCTTTGAATGTCGGTAATTTTCGCTCATTACAGCGGGGTGCTTGGCAGGATTCAGGATGTTTGCAAAGGGGTGTTCAGTTCAGATCATTACAAAGGGGCGGTTCTGGTAACGTACAGGGCTTATCATCACATTCCCAGTTCAGGTCTGCTAAAGTTCAAGACCAAACTATGCAGAATGAGAATTTGTACGCCAATAGTGAGAGCGAAAGGCAGTTGTATGCTGTGACTGAGTTGTAAATACTCATTCTTGATTTCTATTTTTGTGTCTTTTGGGAAATGCAGGCAGGGCACAATAGTATAAGATATTTGTGTCTTTTTTTTTTAATATTATGATCTTCGAGTTCAAACATTAAAAAATAATTACGTTTAATACGGTCGTCTTACTAGTATGTTGAATAAATAATTTTATTCTCTGTAATTACTTGCGATCTTTTCAAAAACTCCTTTCTAGTAAATTACTAACATTTATTAATCAATACTAAAAGATAATGTCGTTTAGAAAAAGCTTAAAATTTACAACATAATACGTAAGAAATTTTGGTACCTCAAATGATATGTATGTACGTATTTTAGAAACAATTTCAAAAGAAAAATAAAAGAATTGTGTATTGAAACAGTAAACATCTTCATTAGAAGTTGACAGAAAGTAGTACATTTAAAATTATAAAATTAATAAGTTGAAAGTTAAATAAATTTTTATCTATTTTTACAGAACAGTGACTGATTTCATAATTCAAATTACTTTTTCTTTTGAAAATAAAATCTTCGTAGAAAATACGGATTATACGTATTTGTGAAGTGTTAAACAAATGTTTGTTATAATAAGTAGTTATAAAAGATTGCAGATATAAATCATACCATTATTCCAATGATTAATAAATTTAAAAATCTTGAAGAAAGTAGAATTCGACGACCAAAATTCTAACATTCTCAATGTGTCATTCCATTTTTGTTTTTATTATTATTATTTTTTTTAATTAAATTAATATGCCTTCAGTCAACAAAATACAAATGTTATTTGTAAGTTTGTATTAGGTAGTAACTCGTTGTGCGTTTACTTGTTAACGGAAGTGTTTTAGGAAGAATTTTCTCATTTCTTTTTCACTTCCGCTAAATATACCTTCAGTTTTCGCTGCAGCACAAAGTTACCATTTACACTACCTTCGTTATTGTTTCTTTTACAACACTAATTTGCTACACTTGTAGTACCTAATTATTTATTTACGCAAACATAAGAGCATCCATAAAATTTTATTGCTTACAAAAAACTACACAAAGTTAGCAGAATATTTGGGAACAATTTTTCTCAATAACTGATCCAATGACTGGGTAGAAACTTGTTTAAAACTCTCTTTGATACGAACTTCGGGTTCTTTTGCGAAAGAAAGGCTCATTTAGTGAATTAAGATTTTTACATAATAAAAAAAGCCGCTATCAAATAGCCGCTGGGTACAATGTGTGACTAATAATTGTGTAAGACTCGATTTTTTCGAGAACAATTAAATAATTAATAATTATAATTAATGTTAACTTTCCAAAGGTAATGGTACTGATGGAGCAGGGTCCCAAATAAACACGAGATTCTTATAGCATTACTTTTTTGATTATTTTATAAAAAAACCTTACGAGAAACGTAGGTAATTAAATACAAAAAAAAACATGAATAGACCATTGTAGCATTATACATACAATTTGTTTCTTGTTTGTTCTAGAACTCGAATTTCCATAAAACATTGAAGTGAACATTTTTGTTTGTTCGGGGCCTTGCATTTTTGTACTGTTTTATTGTAGATAGGCTATAAATGTCTTATAATATTAATACTGAAAGACATCCGGTGTCTTTAGGTTAATTCCTAAGTGTTTCAGTTACGACTTGTGTTATATTTTTTAAAGGGTTTTATACGCACTTATTTGTGATATTGTTGATCTGAATTGTTCGTTTGTACATTGTAATTATTCGTAAGTCGATCAACAGTTTCACAACATTTAATATTAATGAATTACTGCCAAAGAATCTAGATTCGAGTGTGAATGAAAGTCCGTGGAACACTATCTTAGTGCTATTTTTTGGTACCTTATATTACCATTATTTCCTTTTTTGTTATTTTTTTTTGTAAGCAAATGTTTTGTTTTGGTACTACATCGATAACTAGGCCTCTGATAGAATTACTTTCCTGACTCCGACACTATCGATTTCCGTTTAATGTATGAATGTAAAAATTAACAATATCTACATTACTAAGCAGTGTATTATAAGAATATTTATTTTACGTTTTTCATATTTATAAGAATGTATCTGTTTAATTTCGAATAAAGATAAATGAAGAATGAATCGTGCATCGTTGTTATGTTTTGTGGTAAATAGAAAAGAATAGTAATTCGAAATCAGACTGCATGAAGTACGAGGGACTAATCGTGCCGTTCTACAATTTGTTTAAGGTAACAACTATGTGTCCGTGCAATTTGGAAAGCATTGAATAACTTAAAAAATCGTAATCTTTAGATGTAATATCTATTTACAAATTTCGGCGTATAATTACCTACTATAAAACAAATAAGTAAAATGAGGGTGCTCAAAATAAAAATAAATAAAAGTGTGCGCAAAAACCTAATTACACTTTAATTTTTGTAGATTTTTAAGTAAGGTTGTTTGAAAATGATGAGGTAGAGCACATTAGAAACAACTTCGAAACCTAATTTTTCTGGAACTAGGTTTTAGTATAAAAAGTGATAAATAAAACAGAACACATTAAAAAAAAACATTGAAACCTAATTTTTCTAGAACTAGGCTTTAGTATGAAAAGTGATAAATAAAACCTCAATACCCACGACAACTAACTAATTTTATTAAATGTATGCTACGGAGTGGAATCTAGTTAGGAATAGAGCCGCTATTTTAATTAGTAAGATTGTCTTTATTTTTGTAATTTCAATGCTTTCACAAGCATTTAAAGAAAAGTTTATAGACACTTGTACTTAAATTTAAACGGTTGGGGTCTGTTTTATGGTTACAATTAGATATATGGGAAATTACATCAGATTTTTGTATTCTATTAAATCCAATCTATTAGTCGAGGCGACGAATTTTGTCTTATATATGATTTAACAAAGCTTGCACAATATACTGTGTTTGTTTGGTATTGATCGTTTACCATTTGTTGTCCAAGTCTAAAGTTAAATTCACTAGTTGACCTCCCTCAAAACCCGCCCTAATGCATGCATACCCCTCATAAAGTGGCATATTTAAATTCGAAAATTTTTTAAAGGGATCTTAACATGTAATAAGTATTAAAATTTAAATTAATTTAGGATGATACCCTAGGTGTTGACAACGTGTTTTAATTAAGTTCCACAGAAGTATATTTTTCTTCCGATAATTTAATTTTTTATGCAAACCCTTTATGCTAGGGTATACGAATCAATATCACTTCACTATGAAAAGCAACACTTGAAGAGATACCATATTACCATATACAGGGTGGTCCAAAAATTATGCAATATACTCTGCGGCCAAACTGAAAATTTTTCAAACAAAACTTATTCCCTCATTTAATACAAGGTCGTCTGTATTATCCAAATTTGATTTGCTACACAAGTGTTCAAAAATAGAAAAATTAAGGTTTCGTTTAAATTACAGCCATGTAAAATGTGACTCCACTCGAAAAAAGTTGTTCAGAATGCCAAAATATTGGACTATGCCTAAAATCGCGATAATATTTAATATTTTTTGATTCGATACAAGGGTATGCAAATTCACAATCACTTCGTTTTGAAGAAACATTTGCCCTATTTAAGCTGCATTTAAGTAAAATAAAAACATTTGAACATCGTCACGATTTTTAGCATTGCCCTCATTGGGGAATTTGCCCTAAGGCCCAGTAGGCCCGGGCCTAGAGCGGCCAGATATTAAGGGTGACAAATCGTGACAAAAAAAAAACACTGATAACAAGAAATGACTCAAATGGAAAATATAAACTAGCTTTGTAAGCTAGCTTTTGGTTAAACAATTTTCTGAATCAATTAAAAGTGGGAATAAAGTAAATTCATGAATTAGTATCTAGTCTATAATGATGGGTGCTGAGAAAGGGGCGGCACATGGCCTGGGGCCTAGAACGGCTAGGACTGCAAATCCGCCACTGATTGCCCTATATTTTGGCATTCTAAACAACTTTTTTCTGTAGCTTTTTTGATTGGAGTCGTATTCTGTATAGTAAATCAAATTTGGATAACACCCTGTGTGTGTGTATATAATACCCACAAACATATTTAATAACTCATCAGCAGAATTGCAAAACAGGGTGTTAAAAGGAGTATTTAATATTTACCAAAATATGGCTATAAGTTAGAAAATACCACAAATGGCATGGTGAACGTCATCTGTAGTACGATGCTACATTTTAGGATTACATATGCCCCAACAAGTCTAGTCTGTGTTCTGTCGGAGCTGCCTGCGACGCGCTGATGAGATCCAAAATGATCGAAATCGCGATCCGCGTCTGGCAGTTTCGACAGAATACAGACCACTTCGAATTATTTTATTCGATGGCTATAAGTTTATTAAAAAAAGTTACTCGTGTGTCATTCGAGTGTAGAACACTTTGTATTTTGAAAAATAACTGCATAGCAGAATTATTATTTGAAAATTATCTCCTCTCATTTACATTTATAAATATGGATAAGTATAACTTATAAAAAAACTGGAATAAAAATTAAAAAAAAAAAACAAACGTAGATACTAAAATTTCTTTCTTTGTACGATAAATTTACAAGCTAAGTATCCAATGCATCTTAAGTACTTATTATTTTAATTTGCACCTTCAGGGAAAATCCACATACATCTTTAAAAATAATAAGCATTGATGTTTTTTTTATATAATGTTATGTAATAGTACGAAAGTGAATTCAATATTGCCTTTATAACTTAAATATTATAAACTATGAAATATCATACATACATTTCTATATTTAAATATTACTTCCAAATTGGAAAAGCAAAAATTTTGAAAATGTTTCGAGTAATAGAAATAAAAGATCTGTAAACAATTCGTAGTTTTACAAACATTAAAAAAGCATGTTAGGTAAATATTTTTGATTTCTATTTGTACAAAATATTCTTAACTAATGCAGAGAAATGAACGTTTAAAAGAACTTGAATACTGTTTAAAATAAATGCCCAACTATAGGCTACATACAGCAAAAATAAGTATAAAATGTCATGTAACTTTTAAAATAAAAATACTTAAACGAATTAATACTTAATCCTGCAACTAGCATAAAAACACAACCACTCTGGAACGGAAATTTTACATTTTAAACCCTTGGCCTGGCACGAGGCGTAGGAGGCAAAGGCACTGCCAACGGTGAAATATTTGCAGTAAAAATATCTGTGCTACGACACGTCTCCTTCGTCGACATTTCCTCCTACAAACCACGAAACAAGTTTAATTAAATGAAATTGATAGTTTTTCACGTAGTGGCAGATTTAAGGAAAAAGCCCATTAGGTACCTAAATTCATCAATATTGTGTTTCATAATCATATATTTATCACAACCATTTTTTGTACTGACTTAACATAATCGAAAGTATTTCGCAAGTGGTTTCTAGTAGTACTAACTTTCCAATAAAGTAAAATTAAAAAACTTTTTTTGAACGAGACTTGGTCATTTATTAGAGCTCGATTAATGGTAATTTATCCTGTAAAAATAATTTTTGAAAATTGCCTAGATCATCAAATGTGAAACTTGTACTGCCTTGGAAAGTTGTCGTGGAAATTCTATTGCATTCATATTCACAATCATCGTCCTATTATCCGAGAGTTGAATTGAAATATTACTTGTTTATATATTTGTAATACAAATTTTACAAATGCAATAAAACTTATGATTACGTTAAGTTAAGTTAAACGCAAAAATTCTATTACAAATATCCAACATTTGAATTTAACCCTGGGTTTCACAGAACAGAATGATTATTTATGGTTAATATGACTTCGAATAAATTAATAAAGCTCTAAGAGATGGCCAAATTTCAGTCAAATCAGAAAAAGTTTTTCATCTGAGGGCAAGTACTTTTCGGACCCCTTAAGATACAACGAGTTTTGATCGACGGAATTTTTATAAACCAACTGCTGGTTGTACAAAGAAACCATCTGCATATAAAAATGTTTTAAATAACAGAGCAAGTTTTTGTATAAAAAAATTGTAATTTCAGCACCGAGGCGGCAACTGCTCCTTTGGCGCACCTTAAATCCGCCATCTATAATGTATAAACTGATTGCACAAGTTTATTTTTTAAAATGCCAAAACACTAAAGTGGATGAAAACAAATATGCTTAGTTTATAAAAAAAAACAAAATGTAACAATACTGCAAAAAAGGAACTTTTTAACTATAAACAACAAATAATAAGGACGTTTGGAAAAATGAAGCATAAATTATTCACATCTTTTGTATTTGTGTATGTACTGAAATGTGATTTTTACAGTACATATTCTAAAGGAAGCTTATCCTGTAAAATCCTTGTAGTTCTCAAAGGTATATATTAATAAATATACATTATTTGTCATTTTATATTCCTCACTTTCTCATATTATTAACTATACTTATAGTATACACATGTTTTAAACAAGAAGCCGCTAGAAAAAATTGAAATCAAAAATGAATTATCAACCTACTGTTTCGATGATAGAGAGAAATTATTGAAACAACGGTTTTATGAGCAATAGAGGAATAAAACAGCTATATTTTAATATTAATCAAAAATTCCCCTGCACTTCTTAGAAAAATAAACTAAATTAAAGCTATATTCAATATAAAATTGTTAAAATTTTTCGAATCAAGTTACCGCTCCTTCAGAATTAAAACCTTGAAAAATAAAATAGGAAAAAAACATTTTGGTGTTTGTAGTTTCTTTGTATTTTATATTATTACTTACACTTTTGGGAGTGATTATTAAGTCAATATTAGTTAATAAATTTTGTTAATATGCTTCTGTGGTTTTACTTTTATGTTACATTATTTTCAATGGGTACCAAAATTTAAAAAAAAAAGTTCCAAATTAAAAATATTTAACAATTAAGAATGACATTTCTACTGTAGCCTTTTGAAATATTTTCCTCTAATTTCATTTTACTTCTCGCGTTAATAAATGAATGAAACACGTATTTATTCAGCAATGTTTCTTGCGGTAAGTTGGTGTCTCTTTTTTTCATTCCTTTTACTTACTAAATGAAAACTTTAAAACTATAATTTCCTGGAGAAAATTGACTCACTAAATTAGTCAAAAGATGTCCCCGTTCTTTAAATATATTTTTCGGATGAGCCTTTAATGAAGGTCTTATTATTCAGTAAACATTTAGTCCCTTTTTTGCAGCAATAAATAAAATATTGGCTACCTTAAATTTATCATAAGTTACGTTTAAGGATTTGGGCACTGCTTCGATTGTCGGCTTCGTTAAGCTTTTTGATCTCCTTGTTTTTTCGCGTTTCTTTTTCTCGAGAGAATAACGAGATCTGCCTCCTGCGACTTTACCACACGTAATATTAGGAGGCGCAGTTCTTAAACCTAACAAAAAATTTTACTTTATTAACTGTCATCCACGTTTCCATCACCAAGTAGTGCACTTGAATGTTGTAATGTTACAAAAAGCAACTACTTACTCTAATTTTTAGAATTTTAAATAATCAAGAATAGAATTGAGAATATTGCTGTTTTTGAAAAATAAAATTCATTGTCGCATATTTCCCTATTATCGACTTATATCTAAAAACATGCTAGCTGCAAGTCAGTGTTCCTGCTTTCTTAATAAAATTACTTAAATAAATGATTAATCGAAAGTAAAGGTGATTATTTACAGGGGAATTTTTGTTAAAAATGTTAGATACAATAAGAAGTTAAAAATCGTTACTATATTAATGAAAGTGCAAAAGTGGTTAAGAAGCTTAACGTTTATGTATTGATACTGCCGGCATGCAATTACTAAAACTAAAAACGTATAAATGAAGAGCAATCGTTTTATACAAATGATGTTCAGTGTTATTTTGTCTGGAAAAATTATTTATATGGACTTTATTTTGGATGTTAAATTTTATAAGTATTCTCGATGTTGCTTATGTATTTTTATTTAATGAAACACATTTATGCACGTTGAAAACATAATACAGAGGGTGGTAAATAGAAGTGGGCAATTTCAAAATCGAATAACTTATTGATTTTTTATATACCCCTTAAATAGAAACTAATGAGTTATATAACTTTGAAACCGATCATTTAGTATCATTTTACATTTTCTGGCAAATAAATTTAACTACAAGTGATTACTGTTGACATAGTTCATAAATATAATTTTACTTTCACTTACCTGAAGGTACTTGTAAATATTTTGATCTCTTTGTGGCAGACATTGAAGGTGTTATGATTTTTCTTTTGCAAGTACTTCCTCCAAGGGCATTACTACGGTTCCTAGGAGTAAGTGGCATTAGAGATCTTCCTGGCGTTACAGTCTTATCTCTTTGCTGCTTCCGTGCACTGAGCTTTAATTTCCGATCCTGCGCATCAAAAAATAAAAAAATTAAATGACAACATTTTTGTACCTGCTGGAATCTCGTTTAATCTTCAAATAGTTCTTCTGAAAAATAAAAGTGAAAGAGGGTGAATTATTTCAATCTCTTATTGAAAAAAAGTAACGAACAGGTGTGAATTTTCCATACCTTATTAAAAAGTTTTGTCGATTATAATTTAAATAATTTCGTGTACCTACTTATTTAAAAAAACAAATACTTATCTATATTATACTATAAAATAGCATGATTAAAAAGCACACCATAAGAATACAAGCTTTTTTTGTTTTTTACATTTTTTTCATGAAATTCTTGAACATAAAAGTTCGAGTTCTTACAGGCAAATATATCGTAAGTATAGTCAAGAAATATATACGAGTAGTATCAAATGAAAGGTACATATGTCTATTATCTGTATCTACAGATAATTCAAAAACGTCGAACGATCGAAATTACAATCACTACCAACAAGAGCATATTTACAATACGCGTTCACCAAGGTATTTCTGAATTTATGTACCCCACTCCTTGTCATTTCCAAGAAAAACTACTTATCCAAGAACAGAAAGTTTTGGGTCAGCATTTCATTAACTACCCGGTGTGAATCGCTTTTTCGATCTTGTTAGATCTCATCAACATGCCATAAGCAGTCTCAATAAATCACTAACCAAATGTAAGGTTCTAAGGAACCCTTCAAAAGCAAGTCGATCTGATATCCTGTTATGACAGTAAGTGCTAATGATCCACGTATTGAATTACTAAGAAATTATACTGCTCTTATTAATTTGTTTTATCTGCCCATCACATACATACAGTAGAATTATTTTAATCTTTCCATCATGTGATCTGAACGAGGGCGTACGTTTCGTTTTCACTGCACCTTCTCTGTGTAGTTACAATAAAGTTAGACATAGTGCTTAGTCTTAAACTTAAACCAAGTGATAGGTAACAAAATACTACTACATTAGCTGCATTGTCAATTCAGTTAGATAAATTTTAGGGTTTTAATTACTGAAAACTCCATTGGACTTTCTTGTATGCAGTTTATTGATTTTATACTTAATTTCTTTTTTGTCAACAAGTAAATAGGTAATAGGTGTGTTTCACTTACATTTTCCCGATTCTCAGTACTCCTATCAAGAACTGTTTCCAGTGGTTCTCCATGTATGGTAAAAGGCCTGCCATTATGCTCCAACGCATAGTTATAAGCCAATTCTCTGATTTGCTCCTCTAACTTCGGGATTTGTTTAGTTAAGACATTTCTTTCCTTCTCCTCTTTTAGTAGTTTGCCACCGCGATTCTTGTAGCGGTCTGGTGCCGCCGCTGCTTTCTCTAACTCTTGTAACTTCTGCCACACCTCGTTTCGTTTATTTAATAATTTAAAAATTGCACTAAAACACAAACTTGTTTTCAGACATTTCAAAGTTTTGCCCGCATACGGAATATTTTAATCACTTAGGAAAACATCGAGGTAGTTGAAAAATAAACATAAAAAACATAATATGGGACATAAGAGAAGTGTAAACGTGTGAATCAATTAGAAGTACCAATTGCTACATGAAATATATACTTGAAGTTTTCTTGTTTTGAAACATTTTAATTGCTTAATTCATACTTGTTAATTATGTGCTTGCTAATTATTTTTAAATGAAGGTAAATGAACAACATAGACAGGTAGCTCCTTTATAACTCCTTTAAAAAACCGTTTCAAAGGTGAACTTTTTAGTAGAAGTCATATCAAGAATATTGTTTGAAATAAAACACCCTGTAGGTTTTCACATTTTTCAATTTGTTTTTGTCAAACGACTTTGTACTTAATAAGGTAGTTGTCGAGAAATTCACTTTCAATGAAATTAGTTCATATTTAGACCGATTGTAGTTTACCTTACTATTATGAACTATATCTATTAAATGTTTAGAAAAATTTATTATCCAAATTTGGCATTTACGCGTGCAGCACGTCCTCCAATTCGAACCAAAGTTTTGACAACTACCTTATAATATGAAAGTTGATTGGTTTCCAATATAAACAAAATTCAGCATGCAGATTTTAACCAGTTTTTAAAATTGATTTTATTTTACTGGAGTTACAAAAGAACTATGGTAGAGTGGGAGATCCTGTATAATTTCAACCTCAATATTAAGTTGATCGTACCAATTCTGATTATAGAATTTTTTCCATTTGTTCAATTCCATGTCGTGTAAACTTAGTAAATCTTCCGTATAAAGATCGTCTTCAAAAAACGAGAACTGTTTACGTTCTTCTTCACCAACCATACAAAGATCCCAATAATGACTTAACTCTTTTCGAAGTTTATGGACAAAAGTCTAGAAAGTATAATTTGTTTATTAAACTTCCAAAAATAAAAAAATTGAAATCCAGTAACTTTTATTAAGTAAATACAAACACAAAAATGTACGTTGTATGCATCTGAATGCTTACTTGGATGTTTAGCTAGCTTTTATGGATAGGTTCACTAGTGTGACCACCCTTAAGGTCCTACTCTACTAAGGACACTCCTTTCGTAATTTAAAGTGGCCTGTTTTCATTTGTATTTTCAATTTTTTTTTTGAGCAAAATCT